AAGGGAGTATAAGAGGGGAAAGAGGGGGCGGAGAACACGAGGGAAGAAGGCGTGGGAATACCCGCTTTTGATTGATGAAAATGAAGGGAGGTGAGGAGGGGGGAGGGAGGCTACCCAACTCTCAACTGCCTCCTTACACTTATTAGCTTTGCTTTGTAAAGTCAGTTTAACATTTTATTTTTATTATTTCTTTTCTTTTGACACTTGGCCTTTTTGCCATTTGCAATTTCTTGTTTGTGTCTCCTTTGCCTTTATTTCTAGCCAATTTTATTTGGTGGATCTCCTCTCTCCATGCTCTCTCTCTCTCTTGTTTGTAGCAAGTTTTCCTTTAGGGCGTTTGTTTTGTTAATTGTATTTATTGTTTTATTTTAAAGAAAATTACTGTTTGTAGCAAGTTTTCCTTTAGGGCGTTTGTTTTGTTAATTGTATTTATTGTTTTATTTTAAAGAAAATTACTACTAACCTCTTATATTTAATCAAAATTACATTTGTACTAAATTTAAAAAAAATTAAAGATCAACAAAAAAATAAAATAAAATCTAAAAAAATACCAAATTAACTTCACATCTTATAAATAAAGAATCCCATCAAATTATATATTGAACTTCTATTTGTTAATTTTTCTCCCATCCTAACTATTTTTTCAATTTCAAAACCCAAAAATTATTGTTTATAATGATTTGTCTCATTCTAAACATCAAATGAAATTGGTTTAGATATGAAAAACCAAACAGGCATGTGAATTTTTTTAGAGGTGTGTTTGTCTTTTAGTTTCAACATGTTTTTTAAAGTGGTTTTTTATATAAATTGAGAGAGCTGAGTTGAATATTTTTTTCTAAAATTTATATTCAAAAAAGGCAGACAACAAACATAAATAAAAAAAAAATATATATTATAAATTAATGCTTGTTGTAGGTTTTTTTTGGATATTTTGATGTCAAAAATTAAAAAATTATCTAAAAAACAAATTATTTTAATGTATTTTAATTAAAAATACTTTTAAAAAACACATTGCACTACAATATTAAATATATATTAAAACTTCTAATATACTCCACAATTCAATCAAAAGCTGATCATGTTCATGTGTTCTCATGTATTATTATGCTTGCAGGAATGAATTTTGCGAGAGAATCAATGAAAGTAAAGAAACAAGCATAAAATAATATAGTTATGATTATTTAGTCTACTTTGAATATATATATATATATATATATATATATGCATTTTATCTTTTTATATAATTCATTTTTAGACTACTCTCACTTGGTTTAAATCTAAACAAGTAGTAATTTATCTACTATTTATAGTATGTAAAAGATGATTTGTTTACTATAATAAGCAAGTTAGGAATTGAGAGCTAGTGCTTTTTTTCATCTTTCTCCTCTATTTTTTAGAAAATTAAAGGCATAGATATATATGATCTAAATCTTAGACCATCTTACCTAAGAAAATAAAGAAAATAGATTCATGATAAAGTTGATGACCTTAAACTTGATGAGGTTTTTCATAGTGACTTATTTTAGAATCTAAAGTCTATGGTTTTTAAAAGTTTGTAATGAGATTAATTTTTTTTTTATATGACTTATAGGTAGGAAGAATAGTAATTAAGAAGTGAAAGTAGTAAATAGGGTTATAATTTCTTAGATTTTGTAGTTGGTGTTTGATTTAAATGAGTTATGTAAAATTGTGATTGATTTTGTATTATACACAGAATGTTTGACAAAATATCAAGTTTTAGTTCTTTTCTAATTTTTAGCAAAATTGTAATATTAGTTTGATGGCAATGTTGTGATATTAATATTATGAAGGCTCTTTAGTTATTAAATAAAAAATAATGACAAACCTATAAATAATTAAATAATTTGTGTTGATTTTTTTATGCACCAGGTATAGGATAAAAATTTTTATGCTGGCACTAGGATGCCTGTAATTTTTCAAAACTCAATAGGATGTTAGGTGTAATTTTTCCAAATTTAAAAAATATATTTGGTTGAGTTATAAATTATTATTTTTTAAACAATTTAAAAAACTAAAATATTTTTTTATTTTATATTATTGATTTCTTAAATGTGGTTATTGTTATTATCACCACTACATCACCAATAATATCACCCTAACATTATAATAAAAATCATTATTATTATCCATCATCGTTATGATCATTAAACTATTATTTTTTACATTCATTGCACCACCACCTTTTATTTTAGCATTTTTACCGTCATCATAAATATATTACCTCCAACATGATCATAACCTAATTTTTATCTTTATTGTTTCAATGTCTTATAAGTTCTCAAGAAAATATCTTTCCAATATGATTCAACTAATTTATGGTTATGTCATGATTTATGGCATTTTATTTATTTTATATGGAATTTTTTATATAAAAAAAGAAAAAGAAAAAGAAAAAGAAAATAGATTAAGGAGTGAAATGACAAGCATTCAAGAAAAAGTATAATTTTAATAAAGATATTTAAAAAACCACCAATTATGGATCATATTTAATTCAAAAAGGAAAGGAAGAGATTATGCATGATTCAATAAAATAAAATAAAATAATCTTCGACCATAAATTTTTTAAATTTAAAATCCTCACCTATGAATAGAAGAACATAAAAATCTTTCAATATTTTGATTTTATTTTTTAAATTGATAAAATTCCTCTACATTATAAATTGAAGCATAAGTAGAAAAGAAAAGGATAGACACATTAGAAAAATCTAGAGAGAAAAGACTAGGAAAAGGCTAACAAAAAAATAGACTTGGAAGAGAAAAAAATAGAAAAAACAAGAACACAAAAACCAACTAAAAAAAAAGCAAAAAAAAAAAAGAACCCACTCCCAAAAATAGAAAAAACAAGAACACAAAAACCAACTAAAAAAAAAGCAAAAAAAAAAAATGACCCACTTCCATGCACAAAAACCTTGTCGATGATCACCTTCCTTTTATCTCTCTCCAGTCATCATCTTTAGCCTCAGCAACCTTTTCCTCACAACTCCAACGTCACAATAACTTTATCATAATCACATCACCTTGCTATCAAATTACTGTCGCATTTTTCTTTTCTTAACTGAACTTTTTTCTCTCTCTCTCTACAATAATGACCATGAATCAACCACCACTTTCTTCGTTCAAAACCCACACAACCACTCTTACATACACTAGTTGTCATAATCTAATTTTGACATATTGATTCTTTAATATTTTTTTATCAAGATAAATAAATAAATATGATAAAAGATTGGGGAGTGAAAATGATGAGTAAGAAAAAATAGGAATCAAATTTTAGAGAATCAAATAATATAATAAAAAAATTAAAAAAGAAAGGTAGTTAAGTTTAAGGATGATATTTGATTGTGATTAGGAAGGAAAATGAAAAGATTTTGAGTTTGATTAGAATATTAGATTATTTTTAAGAAGGAAATGAAGAGATTTAGCCCATCCCAATAATGAAAAAATTGACTTTTTAATAAATAAATAAATAAAAAACTTTAAAGTCTTATATAAAAAAATATGATAGGAATCAATAGTTATGAAAAAGGAGAAACTCTAAGCATTTAAATCAAGATTTTCATTAAAGAAAAAAAATAAAAAGCAATATTTTTCAATTAATTTTAATTTATTTCCTATTAAACTTTAATAATATAAATAGAGGGAAAAAGGAAAACAATTAATGAACCATTTTAGCTAATCTTTTTTTTTTTAATTCGAGGAAACCCACCCTGAAAAACGTATTTTGTGGGTTTAGGTGAGTGAGTAAAACCCCAGCTATCCTAGGCTCTTAGAAGAGAAATACGCCCTGATTCGAAATCGATACCTGCTTTGCAAATCTCAAACCCTTTGCCATCACGCTACACTTCTTAAAGATATTTTAACTAATTTGTCTCATTCTGAAAACTTGTTTTTAACCTTTTATTTTTAATATTTTTTTTAAAAGAAAAAAGTATAATTTTTTTTTTAAAAAAAGCAGCATTCTCAACTTAATTCTGCCAGTTTTTTCTCATTTCATAATTTTAACCTTTTTGCTTATTGTTTTCATTTTAATGATTTTTTATGTATAAAAAGTTGGAAAAAAAATCCAAAAAAAAAAACACGGTGTAAAGAGAAAAGAAAAAATGAAGAAGAAGAAAACTTAACAACTCCCTCTCTTATTTCTCACTCAACTCTATACCATCACAATGACAACAATAATAGCCACCATCATACATGACCATCAAAACCTTTGAAACAACCACCACCAATGGTAGTCTCTTACTATCATAATTAACATCAAAATTATAATATCTTCTCTTTTCTAGCCCATAAGTTTCTCTTTTACTCTTGATGGTAACGACCATCTCTATGTTGACTAGAAAGAGACTCAATCACTAGTTAGAGAAAAAGAAAGTGTTGATAAAAAGAGAAGAAAAACAATAAATGACCAAAATTTTAAATGGAAATATCTCCCTTATCGAGTGGCCAATTGAGTTCATCGTTGGTGTATAAATGATGAACAGAGGGATGACTTTCTAATCCATCTAAAAACACATAAAAAATGGTAACAAATGAGTTTTATGCGTATGGTAGCACATGAGATCATATGTTGCCATTATTTCAGATTAATTCTAGTAGGCTAGTCCTATTTCCATTAACTTCTTAGTCAATTCCCCCAACTTTAAAAGGTGGTTTTGTTACTTCATCAAAAAAGAATTTTTATTTTCTCAAATTATCAATGAAAAAAATTATCAAACTAGCATAATTAAAAAATAATAACTTCTAAACTAACATGATTTAACTAGTTATGCACGTAAGACCTGTACAACTTAAAACATACAAGTCTCACATGCATAACTCACATGGATAAAAAAAAAGATTATTTCTTTTTTGCTAGCCCATTTCTTCATTAAATTTATTAGTTTTTCT